AAAAAAAAGAAAAAGCTTTCCAATCATTTATACCTATTTTTGAACATATTTGAAAAGCTTCATTAGATAATGATATTTACAATTATTTCGAACAAATTCTATCTACATTGGGTATTGATGCTCATGTTGAAGATGGATTTAAAAATATATTCAAGTCTATTACCGAAGAGATCCAAAAGTTAAAAGAACAAGAAAAAACAATTAATGATTTACAAAAACGACTGGGTAATATAGAATTACAATGGTTGGGTGTGTGTATTTCCATCATTCACACCCACACCACCCACACCCACGCCCACGCCCTCCGTGAAAAAGCTCCTTATCTCAAAAGAGTGGAGTCATTTTACAAGTAAGTTATAGATTACAACTTTCAAAATTTTTTTTTCTTGGTTTTTTTTGTATAGAAGAATGCTCTAAAGTTGAAACAGAAGTTATTCGATTATTGAAATTAGATAAAAAGGAAGTTTTTACTGATCAAGTACAAAATCCTTCAGTGGTCGCTTAGCTGTTGGATCCAATTGAACAAGAATTCAAAAAAGCAAACAAATGCAGCCATCAAGTTAATAGATTTAAGAAAAATTATATCGGAACGACACGAGATGGCTGATCATAATCTTCGAAAAATTGCAGATCAAAGAACACTCATTCATAAATATGAACAAACAACATATCCAGAAGATTATCTATACAAAATTATATTGAAGCAAATGGTGGAGTGTCTTAAAAAACTTGATTCTGATGATCAAACAATGTTGGGCCCTTTTTATTGAATGTATTTTTATTTAAGCAGCATTTTCTTTTAATACACATATGTAAAAAAAACAAAAAAAGATAAAAAATAAAAGTGTAAGATAAGCAAATACGGGAAGACTAAACTGAAGTATTAAATGTAGGTATACGAGGACATAAAACAATTATCAGGAATCTCATCAATAGAAAGTACACTATATTTTGTATGTTCGATATATATGATTATTCATCAAAAGTCTACTTAAAAAACAAGTGACATTCGTTTTTGTGATTCGCTTGACTCTCGACTGTATATTCGGACCTTTGATATGTTACAGTGCTTCACAGTCTTCAACACAGCAAGTATCCAATATTTCGAAAGAGTGAGCAAGTGTGTGTACAGTAATATTAGCATCATTCTCGTTGTGCACAATGGTATGTGGGTCCGAATGAACATTTTTATCACAAATATATCTAATCAAATTGATACCTTCACATTGATACTCAATAAGAATCTAAAGCACTACACTATGGCGGCGATATCCACGTGTATCCGAAAAAGAGCTTATATTGAGCCATCTGAGAGACAATGAATCAAAACGCACTTGCGACACTCGTAAAAACATGTAATACTCCTTAAAATTTCTACTAAAAATCTGTTCACGCACTAGCACATCAACTAATGATATTGTTTATTAGAGCGTCCGCTAGAAAAACACGCGTTTAGTTGAACTTTGAGCTTAAAATCAATCATATTAGGTTCGATCTGCCATCGGACGATCATACTTGAAAGAGGCTCCTACTCAAAGTAGCCGTTAGACTAGATAGATAATTTGAATGTATGCGTATATACATATCGACATTGGAATCAGTACAGATAAGAAAACATCTCAGTGGAAAAATCCAGTTTATTTCATTCAAATCTCATTCCGATAACATGAATATAAATTCTTCAAGTGATGTTTCCCGTCGAATGCACCATTCATATATTGCACGTGCAGAAAAGGCGTTGTCACACTTTATTTCAAAATATTTCTCAGTCCTTAGCAACTGCTACTCCTTATTCAAGCCAATTAGATCTGCACTGCTGATGTTTATTGAATGAATCCCAATAGCCTGAAGCCTTCCTTCAAGCGACTTTTTAGTGCAGCAGCTAGTCATTCATCAGCACCCCCCCCCCCCCGGGGCGTCATTCATGGCTAGCCGCTGCTATCTTGATGGTGTGGATAAAGAGGGATAGCAAACACCGACAGTCACACCCACACCCACCCTCTTTGATAATTACTAAGTCAACTACAGACTAGAAGCATAAGATGTCAACATTAAAATCACTGACGAGGATAGGTCTGGAACTGACTCACGCCGTTTTTGTTGATATTTTACCCATATGTAGAGTTCGATGAAACTAGAAAAAGCCTAAAAGAATAATGGCCCATATCCTTCTTTCTCGAGTTATGATCATTTTACATGGTTTACCCTATGACGAGAGATTCAGTGAAAAATCAGCTTTCGGCCACATGCAGGTCTTATGGCCTATATTAGCCTAAAAGTTTCAGCCAAAACAAATGCTTCTTTCTCGAAATATTGAATTTTCCATAAAAGTCGATTTTCCTGACATGTGTGTAGCATAGTAATGTTTTCTTGAGAACGCAATATTTCAAGAAAGAAGCATTTATTTTGGCTGAAACTTTTAGGCTAATATACATACTATAAGACCTGCATGTGAACAAAGTTACACATCGAAATTCGATAATTTGATTTTTCGCTGAATCCCTTGCCATATAGGTGGTATGCCCAGTAAAATGATTATAACTCGAGAAGGAAGGTCTATGGGCCGTTATCTTTTTAGGCCTTTTCTAGCCTCACCGAACCCTACATATGGGCAAAATATCAACAAAAACGGCGTAGATCAGTTGGAGGCCTTCGGTCGTGAGTCTGGCATCCATATGTGCTCTTCACCAAGATTTGTATACAGTTTTGAGAAATGAAATTTCCAAAAGTTTCATTCTAGACTGTTCGCCCATCAATCAATCAAGAAGTCTACAGTGAATATTTCATATAGTCGAAAAGACTCGACAAAACACCATGAATCCTTGTCTTATTCTTCGACCATGGTACAGTATGTCTTTTGTGTCACATCAATCATTCACAGAAAGAGAGAAAAAAAGCCAATTGACGCACATGCTTTTGTTCTTTTTCGCGGAAAGTCGATGTCTTTGCACACAGCATACTTGGATAGCGGCCTTCACTCGCATAGTAAATATTTGATAAGAAAATGGAGAATGGAGCACTTTGTTGGCTGTCATCAGTGGGTTTTTTCCACTCTACCAGAAGAACAACATAAAGTCAATACACAGGTGAAGTGACGCTGAGTCAGCAAGCGTTGACGCCTGTCACAGTGGGGAGCCAGGCGGACATATGCCAAAATATTCTTTTCCAGAATCTAACCATTTGCGTAGATAGATGTATATATGAACTATTATTTTCTAAAATAGCGGTTCTTAAAGTTTTATAGAGCCCTAGAAGAGAGCCTCACAAGGCTTGGGGGCAGAAATTAGCATAAATAAAGAAAGTAAAGCCACTCAGCAACATAACACAATATTCCACAGGCTAACAATATCACAAAAACCTTGCTCAACTATGGACTTTGTGATAGAAAAAATTATCGCAATCCAATTTAAAATAGAGTAGAAAACAAAGAGTCCCTATGTCGAAAACCTACCCGAAAACCCAGCGTTCCGTATATTAAAAACTCTACAAAGGGATTATGTTTGATCGAGCGCGCATTTTTACCACATATACATACATATGTATCCTAATTACTGTAGTAGCGCCAACTCAGGAAACCTTCCCTAGGTTATCTTAGAGAATGCCAAAAAACCCGAGGTCTGGTAGGAAATCTAGTTTTGGAGGCCCATGTTCCACTTGGAGAAAAACCAAGATGATATTCGGAATCAGCTCCTCCAGCTGCATCGAACCATACATATTCAATAGTTGGGGTATGGGTGTGGGTATGGATGGATAGGTGTGATTGGGTGTGGGTGTGGATGTGAGTGTGATGTGAACGTGGATGTAGTACATCTCTTGGTTCAATGCTCACACCCACACCCAATCACACCCACACACATCCACACCCCACATCCCACACCTCATACTCACACCTCACAACCACACCTATACCTACCTCCACACCTGACACCTACACCTACCTCTACACCTGATACCCACACCCACACTCACACCCTTTTGTTCAAAAATTGAAGAAATTTTTTTGAATCATGACCAGAAAAATAGTTGGCTCCACGTTGTTTTGTTATTGAAGATATTAGCTGGGTATTCAAATCAATACCGACACCAACAGATGTTGTGTAAATACATTGTTTTGCCAACGGGTCGATACGTAAATAAAAGGATTTTTCATCCAAACAACCAGCATTTGATTGTGTATCGGTTATAAATAAGATTAGATTATCGTAATCATCATCCGTCACTGATGAAATTGTCTCAAATAACGATGCACTACATTCAATACTAGCATTCATATTTGTACGTCCATTAGCATAAATTTCTAACAAATGATTTTTCAACTGTTCAATATTAATCTTGGTTAATTTCTTCATCATTTGAATCACATGCGCTTCACTATTAAATATAATAATTGCTAGCCGGTCATTCGGCTTTAAATGATCCAATATAATGGTTATTACATAGATTTAAATTTTATAAGCTACCTCCAGCAGCAAAGGATGCCAAATTATTTTAATATTTTATACTTTCGAGATCTTTTATTTCTGGATAATCACTTTTAGTGATTTTGCATACTCGAATTTTTCTTTGGAATTTCTATGGTTTGATGATTCTTCCACTTGAAGATTTCACTCATTCGAAATTTAAAATTCCGATCTTTTTCCTTCCGGATACTGGACACTACAGCACTTCAGCATTTTCCCTGTCGATAGATGCCTGCATCTGGTTAAGGAAACGATAGTTACCCAAAGTTAACTTATCGTTAGGTATCAAATCGAAATCGTCTCGTCTATCACTTGATTACTGCAGGCAGTTACAATATATGTTGATTCATATTATGTAAATTTAGGATGAAATTTTATGTGAGAAGATTAAAATGAGATCAAAAATTAAAAGTGTAAAATATAATATCAGTTTTGTCGCTCCATCCTGCGATCACACAAAAAGTAATGGCTTTGTTGATTACAAAAAAGTGTCACGATGTTTAATTTGTATTCGTTATTTCCGATGTCTCTTATCCATCGTCATTGAGGATGACGGCCCAATCGACTTACAAATTGTTTATGCCGAACTTTTGCAGCTACACGATTTGGATTAAATATTTTATCGAGTTTGGTGAAAAAAGCAAACATCCCTATAAATTGTACTACACCCATCACAAGCATGCATACAACATTTGTCATTGCAACAGGTTGTTTACAATACTCTTCGAAATCTTTGGCTGACAAGACTTCCATTTCAGGTGTTGTTGTAGGCGTTGTCGTTGGCGTCACACCTTAAATGAAGCATAAAACACAGTGTTTTAATCATGTCAGAACAAGTTTTACTAGTTGTCGTTGTTTCCGTGGTTGTTGTAGTGGTTGTTACTGTCGTTGTCTGGACAGTTGTTCCACTTGTGATAACAATACCAGTCGTGGTCAAATTCGGATTCGGGATAGTAGTTGATATCGGCTGTTAGTACAAATAAAATGAAATATAGTCTCCTTCCTATGACACGAAATCATGTGTTTACTCGTGTGGTAACAGTGCCCGTCGTTGGAGGAGTAGTTGTTGTTGTCAATGTACTTGAAACACCTGGATCCCAAATGTTGAAATTCCAGTAGTCTGGATCTTTTTTTTTAGAAAAAAATACTTTATGGAAGATCTGACAATACCATACAAGAAGATTACCTATAATAGGATCCGATTCAGGAGAACAAAATATATTACCCGATGCAGCTCCACTAGAGAATAAAATATAGTAGTATGCACCGGGAGTCCAATTAGCATTTTGGACATAGAACAAGACCGTGTTTCCAGTATAAATACAATCCGGTGAATAACCACAATCGGCTTGCCACTCAGGAGTCGATGGATTTGCTTTGTTGAAGATTTGAATGTACGTACCATTTCGACTAGGACGGTAGACATTACCTGTAGCTTCAATACATATGAAAAATGTATTTTATTCTCGAAAACTTCAATAACATAGCTTACCTTGAATGCTAAATAAGGATTGATTGGCAAAAATTGTTCCCAATGGTGATGCTGATCCTGAAAATAGCAAAAACCGATGAGATCTTGAAGAAAATTAAATAGGGAACGACCTTGAACTAGAATCGGAGTGACGAGATTTGGTGCAAGATAACCAACAACAAAATTAATACAGTGTTGAGAGCCAGTCAAATTCTTTTGATCAATGGGAGCAGCGCAAAAAACCTATTAAGATTGAATTTGAGATTTTTCTCTCAACTATATGATAAAACTTACTTGAGGTCCTATCTGATCAGTAGTTGGTGTCCATGTCAATGTAATATACCATTGATTACTAGTACCACTAACACGGGCTATAGTCGTTTTTGTCATATATAATGGTGAAATAGTAACAAATTCATTGATGTAATCACCAGCACAGTCAACAGAAGCAACAATACGTTCACTATGTTGTACGCCAGGGAGGACACCTAAGAATCGATTTCACCGTATAGTGAATGATTTTGTGTTAACGTCTTACCGATACAAGCTCGATTAGGACGATCACCAATAATTTCAGGTTTGGTACTACAAGCTCCAGATGCAGGTTGATATGTAAAAATAAGGCTAATTCAAGAATACTCATTCAGAAATACAATGAAAAAAAATATGAACGAAGTCGATTAATATTCTTACATTTGTAATGGAACCGAGCTCATAGGTATTGTACTTGCAGTATTTACGAAATCTTCCACCATGATTGCTACCACGTAAGTACTTGTAGTTCTACTGCTGCTGATATCATATGGTCGTCGCACAGCATCCCAAGTTATCGTGCATTCACTATGGAACGAAGAAAATGAATATTTATGTTACAAAATTTAAGAACAATTGTGCGGATCTATGGAAAGAGACTAACTGACCTAGCTGATAGATTTGCACCTGATAAATTATTACATATGTCACCACATTCATCTCCAGCAGCACCGGTACTACTTGCCCAACGACAGCGAATATCATCAGTTCGATCCCAATCGGCTCTTGGAATCTGAATAATGGCTGTTTGCCCTTCGATGACACGAATGAGAGGCAGAGATCCAGTCACTGAAACAATACGCACCATATTGATACCAGTTATTGTTTTTTATTTTTCAAGAAACTTACCTGGTGATGAGTTAATAGGATACTTTTGTGTGAGATCAATACGAGTTATTACGGCCCAATAAATCGCGGATGCACTAGAAGATGGCTTTAAGATTTCAGCAGCCCAACTGTTTCCTGTAAATCCGACTACGATATTCGTATTACGATTCAAAGTCATCTTCTTAATCAAAGCTCCACTACTGATTTGTACGATATTGCAAAAATCAGTACAGTAATTATAATCATCAAAGTCTGAAAAGCCTGTTCCTGCGCAGTTGGTTACAGATGTCTGACAATCAATAGATGCGCCTGAACTACCACCGCTTGTATCTGCGTAAGGACCTAAGGTGGCTATTTTTGTCTGATCGCATGGAAAACGACTTAATGTCCATGAATGGGATTCATAAATAATAATTTCAACAGTACTGGCATTGGTATATGGATCAACAGGTTTCCAATTAATTAAGCCACCCTGCAACACAAATCGGAAAGATATTCATTCGCTTCATCATATTATACTCTTACTTTGTAATGAGGAGCTCTTACAGTTACTGTTAATATCGACAGTCCAAGCAGAAGAAAAATCATTTTGTTTCAGACCCGTCTGGACAGAAAATGCAATGATGTCTGTTTGTTCGTTAACTGCTTATAAAAGAGAATCAAGATTGACTGATTAGTATTGTTGAAAGATTTGTTCGATTCAGTACATGTTAAATAAATATGGATCAAAGGAATAAACAATACTTGCTTTAACGTTTTTGAGCACGCTAATGGGCAAATTTTGATTTTTCTTCAGATAATAGGACAATTAAGAATTTCTAAAGGACAATCCACTATTTGATGAAGAACGTTGCGAGTGGTTGTGAAGGTTTTTGAGAGAAGAAACATTAGCACTGATGGAACTATGTCTTTATTATATTTCTTCGTATCAAGAATCGCATCGTTTTCATAGAAAGCATACGCTTATATACTCGCCCATCAGAGAGAAAGAAAGAATATGAATGTCAACAATAATAAGGACAGAAAGCAAGAGCAATAAGATACGGACAAAGTACAACATGATGTGCGAAGTAAGGACAATATTTATTAGGTTGTCAACAAAGTTCTTGCTTTTTTTTAAAATTTTCTAAAACATTCGAGAAAGTTCTAGAAGTTTCCATACTAAGGGTATATAAAGGGAGTATGAATATCTTTCGAATGATAATAAAGCCATTGATATGGACGTTAACCATGGACTGAAAATGAATTTTTCTCGTAGAGAAATTCAAGTGCTTTTTACTTCATGAATTCTGTCTAGGTCACAAAGTAACGGAAGCAGCCAACAACATATGCAGCACGATGGACGAGGATGTGCTCTCCATCTGTACGGCGCAACATTCGTTCAATCGCTATAAGAGCGGTAACTTTGAACTTGATGATTTATCTCGCTCCGGTAGACCTCTGGAACTGAATGTGGATCTCTTAAGGCAGCTTATCAAAGAAGATCCTCGATTGACACTACGGCGTTTAGCAGAGCAGCTGGGAGCTCTTATACTGTGGTGGAAAAACATCTGAACGAATTAGGCAAGACATGGAGATATGAAGTTTGGATGCCCCACAAGTTATCACCACATCAGCTTCAACACAGGGTTGATGCTTGTATGGGTTTAATGAGATCTCACCGTAACTATCAATGGCTCTGCCATCTTATCACTGTCGATGAGAAGTGGATGTGGGCGTGAGAGGTTAGAAGACCTACCCACATGCATCGCACATCCCACGCCCACATCTCATACCCACACGCCCACACCCCTGATCTCTACTGTCAGCAATTGGACCGGGTTGCCGAAAAACTCAAGGGAAAGCAGGATCGAATTTACTGTTTGCATGATAATGCGAGACACCCATGTTTCAAAGTCGGCGCGCGAACAATTATTGAAGCTCGGATGGATT